ATTTATATTAAATATTGGGCATGGACATCAAATAAACCATTTCAATTTGTCACTTGGATAACCAAAACTAATCTTTTTTGACAAGAGCTAAAATTAGACTCAGAACACTCTAACTAACCTTAAGCTTTTTAAAGCCTCAAGTTATTTCCAAAGTCTTCATTAGTTACTCATTAGTAGGGATGTTCAAGTTTTCCACTTCATTTTCAAACTTACTTAAACTCGGCTTTCATTTTAATTCAGCTTCAATGTATATTACCTAATATGTGGAACCTGTGTTCCAGATATATTTCTCAATTTCCTACAGATATGCATTCATATTTTGGTTCCATTGGCTTCTATCCATTTTATTCATTACTTAAATCTCTATTGTCATTCTTGGTACAAATCAACTACATTTCTCCACAGAACTTTTCCTCACTGATTGCAACAAAATTAACTGAATCACTTCTGAATGATATTTAATTCCATATTCAGAAAATTCAATACCATACAGAAAGGCATTACAGTTCATGAGCAGTTTAGATATGCTTTAAAAAGAATTTAATGTGGAGTTATTCACTACTGTAGAGATATCGTAGATTCCCAATTCCTGGCTAAGTGAACACGGAATATAAAGAAAGTGTAAAGATGAGGAGAGATACCTAGGCCGGGGTTTGGGCTCACTGGCGCCGCCCCTGCCTCACAAGTGCAAGGTTCTGAGTTTGATCCTTGAAGAAGGAAAGAAAAAAGAAAGAAAGGAAGAAAGAAAGAAAGAAAGAAAGAAAGAAGGAAGGAAGGAAGGAAGGAAGGAAGGAAGGAAGGAAGGAAGGAAGGAAGGAAGGAAGACAGACACCTGCTGCAGTGAACATTCCTCAAATGGTTCTTGGTGAATGAATGATAAGCAGTACATTATTTGATGGTCTACTCTTTTACCAACTAGTCTATATACTTTGGTACTAGGGAAAATAAAAAGCAACATGTCACTGAATTTGGATTAAGAAAAGATTGTGTCAGGTTGCTGTATTTGTTTGGTAACATTTTCATATGAAAGGTAAAGTAGTTAAATTGTTGACTCCTATTTATAGTAGTTGTCAGTGAAAATGATAAATTAGAAAAGATAATTTTAACTGATGTATATATTTGCAAATTGTTCTTGTAATAAAAATTTATTGCAATGCATACTTTATTAAATGGGAAAATTAATAGAGAAAAACAAATTAATTTAGTAAAATAAAGTATTTTGCCTGAATATTACCTAAATGAGAAAAATCTCTTGGCATATCCATTTTACAAAAGAAAAGAAAATTTAGGAAGCTCTAAGAAAAGACTGCTTAAGAAAGTTGCCATTCAAAAAGCATATTGGTTCTTTCTTTAACACACAGTAAAACAAGGCAACTGTAGTTTGTATTCGTTTTAAAATATTCAGAAGGAACATAAAACAACAAACAATGAAAATAACAGATACTCTTCTTTAAGGCCTTACCATACACTAGGTGATACATCATATGCTTTATATATATTTTTAGTAATTTCTTTCTCACTAATAACTTATTAGAAGTCAAATAATTTACCCAACATCATATTGACATAATCAGAGACCATCAGAGATACAGGATAAACAAACTCCTGAGATCTTAACCTGCTACTCATTAAAGGTACAATTTGTGTTTTCTTTTGAGGCTGTCAGGGACCCCAAAATTGTTTTTGCTCAAACAATAACAACATCAACAAAAGTTACCCAATAGGTAACTGAGACACCTAATAGGTAACTACAAGTAGAACAAAGCTTAACCATTTTGTGTATCTCTCCTTTATTTCCCAAAACTTTAGATCAAATCCCTTCTCAGCTCTGCTTATAGGCATGTTAGTCATTTAGGGAGTGTGTTTCTAAAAGCATTCAGTACAATATAATATTGATTAGCTCTCAAGACAGAAGACACCAAGAGAAGACATTTATAGACATTCAGTGAGGGCTAAGACATCTCCAGTCACTGCCTCTAATCTACAGTCACTTGATTTCACTAGAGCCGCCATAAAACCGAGAGTGTCCCAAGCAGGAAGAATCATCTCATGAAGACTGAACTTCCTCTCAGACGGCAGGAACTTCTGGAGCCATTTTGTAGAACCAGAAGTGAAATAATGATTAACCAGTTCCCAGCCAACTCCAGCTGATCCATAAAAATCCAGACTGATCCTTTTCATCAGAGCTGTGCCCCCTGCAGCTCCTTAAGCTAAAATCCATATTTTCTTTTACTTTCTAATTCTAATTAATTTTCCTATGCATCTCACTGAAGTTTCCTAAAATTCATTTCTCTGACAATAAGTCAAGAACCTACTCCACAGAGCAAGTTGATGTCCTCATCTTCTCTTTGGGGGTACCTCTTCAGACCCCATCTAGGTGACAATATGACATATGATGATGGAACTGAGGTTCTAAGCCTGAGTTTATCTGATTCTAAAGTATACATGTTACAATATTGTAGCAACATTGAAAGAGAAATATCTAGAAAAGTTCAAAGGCTCAAAGAGAGTTTTACAGCAGCAGCCCATAAACTATTCTTGAGAGTTGGCTTGCAAAGGAAAAAGGAATATTTAAGTTTAACAAGGTGACAAGTTTTGAGAGAGAAAAATCTGGAGAAAAAAAGAGCTTTCAAAATATCAAAGCTATAAGTAGTTGGCCCAGGGCCAGGGAGGTCTAAGATCCAAAAACTTTAAAGGTTAAAAGATTTCTATAGAATAATAGAGTAAGCCAAGTATTTTGGTTAACCAAAATATATAAGTAGGTTTATTATAAACAGAACCAGTTACACAAAGTGTCTACATACTAGAGATTTTTTTTTTTTTTTGGTACTGAGGATCAAACTCAGGACCTTAAAATTGCCAGGCAGGCGTGGCGCCACTGAGCTACATCTCCAGCCAGGGATGTCATGTCTTAACTCAATTGATTCCTTTTTTATAGCTATGTGTAGGTGATGATTATGAAGAACACTTACTAATCACTTTTCTTGTTCCAGCTATTATTTTAAATGTTCTACATTTCATCCCAACAACTCTACAAGGCGGGTATTTCTACTCTTATTCCCATTTTAAGAAATATGTTAGGATGGATGTCAGAGCTCATACTCAGCATTATATTGTGCTGATATCATAGGTTAGTAATTATCATAATTAAGTAGTATTCTATTCATAATAATTGTCTTATTTAATAAAATTATTTTTTAAATTGGCTTTTTAAAAATTTTTTTATTTTTTGGTACCAGGGATTAAATTTGGGCCCTTGCACTTGCGCAGCAGGCGGCTAAACCACTGAGCTAAATCCCCGGTCAAAATGGCTTATTTTAAATGGTCACTTAGTATATACATAGAAGCTTGTGATATTTGGAAATGTCAATGGTGACAATTAGAATTAAGTACAGTGAAAATATCATTACTTCAATCTCTTACACTGTGCTAAGAAATGAGTTCTACTGATCTTATATTCTTTAGGATCTGTGATTCAATGTAATGTAAGTGAAAGAGGAAGTGTATATATTTCAGGATAGTTGCTAATTATTGAACTAATTATGTTTTAAAACCCAGGTAATACATTATGAACACGTTTTGATACTCTGTATAGTAATAAGGTAATGTTTTGTTATGTAAAAATAAACAATACTACAATCCTGCAAACTCATATATATATATATATATATATATGATTATATAATACACAATTCATAAAATGGATAGCATCATTCATTTGTATATGTGACACTAATTGATTCTGAAATGTGGAAAATTGACGTAATTAGCAATAACAGAAATTTACATTGCATCAATAATTTTGTTTAAGTGAATAAATCTAAAATATTTCTTTGTATCTTAAGCAATGACTAGATTCTCTAATCAGGTAAGGAAAAATTGAAGTTCTTTGTACTTTAAGATATGGGAAATATTTGAAAATTAGACATATTAAAATTATTATGTCAAGATAGCCAATTAAAATTTATCACACTAAACTTGCATATATTAATGGATTTAAATGATTGTAACCTAATAAAGACTGAGTACTTGGATGAAATGTAAGTCTGAGAATAATTTTGACATTTTGATTTATCTGGAAAGCCCTATCTGGATTACTAAAATTTTCACATTCAGTCAAATCCCAACTTTTTATAAATATGATTGTAACATCAGTGAGTAATAAAACTTTTTGAAGAATAACTGAATAATTACAATGAAGTAAAATTTATGTGATGACTTTTGAGTTTCACTGTACTTTGGGAATATTAATAAAATTTATTGGAAATGTATTATACTAATGTACTATAACATTCTAGGAGATATTTTGGAGTCTCTAGTAAATAAATTAAATGAAGACTTCAAAAAAATTGGTTCTAGTTCCCTGAAATACCACAAGCTACGGATATTTTTTAAAAGTTTATATTCTTTCAGAGTTCATAACTGCAATGAAATTTTATTGAAATAATTTTCTTGAAATGTGTAACTATTCTTTCTATAAATTGAAAATTATAGGTGTAAAATATAAAGTCATCATTAATAAGCATAACTGTCACTTATACAATGGAAATAATGTTAATACCATGTATTTTGACTTTGTACTATCTGCTACATTTGAATAATTTAAAAATTACTTTACATACAATATCTATGAATGACAAAAATCCAAAACATATTACTTTAATATATAAATTCAACATTTTGAAATTATCCTAAAATTTCTTTTAGAAATAAAGGGTCAAAAAATTTAATATGATTCACAGGGTGGAGGAAGGGGGGAGGGGCACTAAACCATAGAATATAATTCAATAAAAACTGATGCTGTTAATTTTAGAAATTATTTAATTTTGTTTATACCAAAGAAGACATTTAAAGCAAGAGGAAAATTCAAATGTACATTTTGGGGGCCTCTCTGGTTACTGCCATCCTACCCCCTATCTGTAAAAGAAAGCTTGTTGGCATTAGGTTCCATCAATTCATTTGTGATTTCTAAATTAATTCTGAAGGAAACCACAACTTACTTGAAGATCCCGCTGAGTGTCTGCTATGTGCCTGACTCTTTTTTTCTCTGTTCACAGACAAAGTACTTCCACTGGTCATGGAAAAAAGGTCTAAATCCGTGTCTTCTCTGCTTACATGTCTTGCCTGGGAGCAATGGGAGAGAATGTATACAATCATGAAACAAAATATGGCATTTTCTGAATGCAGCTCACATTACCCCAAATAAACAAGCAGGCTCTGTCAAACAACCTTCTTCAAAATGATACCACAATCCTTTATTGCTGCCCAGGCAGAACAAATGCACTATGTCAAAGCATTTTTTGCAAATAAGAGCCGATTTTAAAATTGAGGTTTGCTATTTGAGTCTGTACAACAAAAGAAAACATTTTAGTACAGTAATTTTGATGAAAATCAATCTCAAAAGCAGCTGGTAAAATTTTAAACAGCTTAGCATCACTTACTTACCAAGTATATTATTTAATTCTTAATTGAATGTTAGAAATGTCATATTACATTATTTTCTGCAATGTTTATGTTTTGCCACTTATAAGTATTAGACTTATTAACAAAATTCCCTGAAATGCCTTTCATCCCATCTTTATATGCCACAAAGTCATATGATATCTAGTCTTTATTGAAACTATTATAAATATGAAATATTACATACCAAGTTTGACTTTGGGATAAATGAAATTATACAGAAATTTTATGATATATTATTTCAAGGACATAAAGATATGATTCTTATAAAATTACCTTTGTACTTTTATTACTACTTAAGACCAAACCTAGGAGTCAAAAGAATTGTTCCTTACTTAGAAGATCTTGTTTTACAGAATATCTAGTGCATGAAGTAAAGATTTATCATAGTTCATCTCTGAAGTGGAGGGAAATGCCATGAGGTGAAGAAAAAATCTTCTTCCAGCTTCTAAGTGCTGGAATTTAACCCAAACCACAGTATGCTTGAGATCATATGAAAAATCATTGTCCATAATGTTTTATGTGAGGAAATTTAAGTTCAGCAAAATAAAGACATAAGAACACCCTCCACATGATGAGTTACAAAGACTGAAAGAGTTGCACATGTACATGAATGAGTGAATGGATGAGTGAAATCATATCTCCCCAATTTCTTTATCACTGGACAAAATTTGATGCATTTGTCATATACAATGTGATGCTTTGAAATTTGTATACACAGCAGAATGGAAAGATTGAGTGAATTACCTTGTGTATTACATCACACACTTACCATTTTTAAGTATTTTAATGTTGCTATTATTGAATTTAGAATAGGAACCACTGTATAATGTCAGGTAGTTTTGGACGAAACTGGCAAAGAGATATAATTGCACTGTTTAAAATCCTCAGTAGTAAATTGTTTAAAATGAAATCAATAAAAATTGGCCAATTTATGCTTGTGATTTCTATGAAGAATATGACATTTTTTTCTGGAATTTATCTCAATCTATGTACAGGAATATAAGTCCAAAATTCTGATTAGAATGGCTCCATCAATGCTAACACTTAAAAATAACCAGTTAAGAATCAAGGGGAAATACCAAAGCATTATTATATAGGTCAGACTAAATAAAAATTAAAACATTTTAATCATGTTTTCATATAGGGCAATCTATGCTTACCAAAAAGAGGTTAGCTATTATGTCTCAATGTTTAAAAATGAGATTTATTTCAATTTGATGACAAGATTTGATTTCACTACATCTATTTAAAAAGTAGAAATCCCAATTGCCCTGAAATAAAATGATATGTATAAGTTAAGACAATATTTGTGAACAAGAACCTTCCAAAAATTTCAAAATCATCTAAGTCAGTAGTATCCAGACTATCCTTCCAAATAACAAATAACTGATCCAAGCAGGTGCTGTGGTTCACACCTGTAATCCCAGCACTTGGGAGGCTGAGTCAGGACTGTGAGTTCTAAGCCAGCCTAGGCTATGTAGTGAGACCCTGACTCAAACAACAACAACAACAAAAGTGATATCAGTTTCTATATACATAGGGAATCAAATTAAAAGTAAAATGTAATAGGAAGACATGATTTCACATTAGTGCCATCTACCAGCTTAAATGGAAACTTAGAAGTTTCATAGACCAGTTATTATGTTTGTTAGTGCATCTAGTACATCCCATATGCATTAATATTTAGTTTCTATTTCTGAAAATATTGTCTTTCAATCTAATATCATTCTTCCTTTTATTGCAAACTAACAGAGAAATTGGAAAGAAAATACATTTTGTCTTCTATACCATGCAAAGAGACTATACAGATACTCTTCAGTACTCTCTTACATAAAATAGCACAGTCCTTGCCTATAACCTGCACAGCCTCTCCTTTGAATCTCCAGATTACTTATCATACCTAACACAATGTAAATGCTACAAGAGGTGTTCAAAATGTACAGTGAATATGTAGGTAAAACATATATTACAATAAAAGACATAGTGTCATTGATTCTTCTCAAAATACTCCCCTCTGTGAACACAATTATCTCATCATTGCTGCCACTTTCTGAAGCAGCCCTGATCAAAAGCCCACTTCGATAAAAAGTACGGTGATTGCTGCTGCCAAGGGCCATCCAACCAAAGCATTAGGGTGTGTCCTCACCCATCCAACTCACAGGAGCTGGCACCTTGAGACTTCTGGCTCTTCCCTACACCAAAAATGACCATGAAAGATAAGCTTTGGAATCCATTCAGCTCTAAGGGTACAACTGCAGGCACAAGAGGACTTCCAGAGCTGCATCAGAGTGTCAAGAAAGATGGTAGAAGTTTGTTCAAAGTGAGGGGAGTGTTTTGAGGAGGGTTTACGGCAATGTGTCTTTTACTGTAATCAGTTTTGAAATTAAACATTCACCATATTTTCCAATCACAAGTAGGGTATTTAAATAGTTATTATACTGAATTATGAAGGGACTGATAACAAGAAAAAAGTCTGTATATCTTCAGTGCAGACAAGGTTTTTGATCATTTACATTCATGTTTGGTTGAATCAGCAAATAGAAAAGCCACGAGTATGAAGGATCTCTTGTATTTCAGAATGAAATAAGGAGCATGAAATTTGAAACAAAATTTTCTAAGTATTTGGATTCTAGTTCATCTCTAAGATTGGGAATTTAATTAAACAAACATTATCACTCAAACTGAGAATGGTGGCAGACGCCTGCAATCCTAGGATTCAGGAGGCTGAGGCAGGAGGATTGCTGAGAGTTCAAGACAGCCTGGACTACCTAGTGAGTTCAAGGCTAGACTGAAATACATAGTGAGATCCTGTCTCAAAAAAACCAAAAAAAAACTAAAAAAAAAAAGATTGTCTCTCAGTTAATAAAAACCAAGCAGTTCTTCCTTCTGTTTTTTTCATAAAATTTTAATGAATAATTATTTTAAAATTTTGTACTTTTGGAAGTAAACACATATTAAATAGCATTGTTTAAAAACAAATATGAATGTATTGTTACCAAGATTAGTTTTTTAAAAAGGAGAAATCAAGTGTTATAAAGTTGAAGTCATAAGCTACCTTGCAATTTTCTACATACATGTACTAAATTTTTGTGCAGTATATTCTTACAAATAAAAACAATGTTTCAGTGAACAGAAGATTAAATATAAGACTGTTACCCCATCAGATTATAATGGAGCTAAAATTTTTTAACTGCCTAGTGAGGTCATTGCTATGGCAACTTCATAGCGCTTTGCATTACTTGTATATTAGTGGTGATGCTGGTCTAAACAAACATACTCAATAGTCAGTTGTACAAAATTATAACACATAAAATTATACACAGTACATGTACTTGAAAATAATAAGACTATGATAATTCGGTGGTTTATATATTTGCTGTGTCACACATTCATTAATTTAGAGTGTACTACCTCTACTTACAAAAATCTCGCTGTAAAACAGTGTCACGTTATGCATTCATCAGATTCATACATCACTTTTTATCGCATCTCTTGATATATCATCAAGAGATCAGGCCAAGAGATTGACTTATGCCATGTAGGTTTTTGTAAATATATTCTATGATGTCTACATGATTAATCAATGACATTTCTCAGAATTGAGACCATAATGTTAAGTGAAATCAAACACACAAGTTCAAATAGTGAATGGCTTACTGATATGACATAAGAAAGTATAAACAAACAGCAAAGTGAAAGATAGATAGTATGAAGTATGGAGATCTTTTTCAAATGGGAAAGTAAATAAGAGGAGGGGAGGAAAAATGGGATTTAATAAAGAGAATTTAAGAAAAAAATGGAAATAGAGATTTTGCAAATGGGAATGGGAACAAGAGTTAGAGGGAGGAGGGAGAGATGGAAGTGGAAGGGAATAAAAAAGAATTAAGATGTGTTATATACATGTACAAATTACCCATGATAAATATAATCATTATGTACTGAAAGGATGTACTAATAAGAAATCAAGAAAATACGTCACTAGTGTTAACTGATAGATAACTATTATTTGTAAAATTAATACAAATGGTATCTTTTTTTCTGCAACTTGCTTTTTTCACTGTACTTCCAACTGTAAGATCTAATTTAATTTACCTTAAACATTTCAATAACTTGCAAATTATGACAAAATCACTATATGCTATAAATATACCACATCATCATTTGTACTATTTCTAGGCATAGGAGTGATTTAAAACTCTTGTTACTAAATTTGCAGAGATAAGTTATGCATATCCTCCCCTTCATAATACACCATCAACACTGCACAAATTCCTTTTCTTATACATCAAGGCAGAGGCCTCACTCTATAAAATATGTGAATGGAAAGGTACTTAAATGTATTAAAGATATACAGATACAATTTACACGCAATAAAATGCACAAACCTTAAACATGAAGTTCAATTATTTTCAAAGTTTTCATTTTGAAATTTTAGAACTTAAATTTCCCATGGAAGTGACAAAAAATAAAGTAAGATGTGTTATATACATGTATCAACTCCCCAGGAGAAATGTAATCTTTATTTACTACAAACACATACTAATAAGAAAATTGAAAAAGTTACCAAAAATTGTACTGAATGTTACAATACTGACTGTGACCTGTGCACCCTATACTCAGCTCTCCCCAATGACAAAATTTTATATGAGAACAGTATGATT